AGTGACCTCAAGGGTTCAGGGTCCTGGTTGGATATGGCCTCGTTTTCAAAAGGGCAGGTAGAACTAGTCGTATTTATGACTGCAGCTTGTAGTATCATCTGTTTGCCCCAAACTGCCACGGGATCCGTTGACAAGAGGTGTCCTTTCAAAAGAAAAAAGAAAAAGAAACCCCACAAGGGTGATGGTTAAGGAATCTCTGCATCCATGCTCCGGGCACATTCTGTGTGTGGTTTTTTTATTTATTTCAAAAGCCTTGGACATAAATCATGGCTGCCTCCCCCTCCGGCAGAAGAGCCCGTCTCCAGCCAACATGCCAGCTTTATAGCTGCTGTGCCCGCCCGATTAATAGGCCTCGGTCTCATCTTACAGAATGTTCCCTCTTTTGGGCCGGCCAGGCCAGGCCAGACCCTTTTTCAAAGGCATTGAATTCCTGACCTGTCCTAACCCCCCCCCCCAAAATGGCCCAAGGCCCTACAGGGACCAGGGTCTCCCTTGCCTTGGGCGCTGTGAGGGATGGGCCTCCGTGTGTAGGGCGTCTCAGTGAATAAATCAGGGTTGGTTCTTCCAGGGACATGTGGAGTTAAGAGAATGGTCACCTCACCCACATCATCATCATCATCATCATCATTTTAGAACTGCAGGGCTGGAAGGGGCCGTATGGATGATGGGAGTCCAGGGAGAAGAGCAGGCGTAGCCATTGCGCTATGTTTGTGCAGCCTCTGGAATGCCTTGGCCGTTAATATGACCCCCTCGGGTCTTTAGCATTACAAAACAAAGTTGGGAAACCGATGGAGCAATTCTTACGAGCTCATGGTTGGCCCGTGCGCTCCGTTTTCCTTTCCTTTTCGTTTCTTCTCTCTTTAAAGCAATGCTTGCTGTCTCCAAAGATTCTCTCTATATTTGTCTTCCATGTTTTGAAAAGCCGGTCGTGAGTTTTCTCCTGTTCTGGGCCATGTCACAGGCTTGGGGGGGGGGGGGGTGGAGTTGTTTCTGGAGTTCCTTCTCCGCCTGAAAAGGAACTCCAGATTCAAAGTTCTCTAGATGGAAACACGAATGTGTTGCATCGTAAAAGCTAGACCTCATGCGCAGCCAGCCATTGTGAGGGACACGTCCTGGATAGACAAGGAAGGCAAATTTCAATTTCAATATGTGGCTGATGGTGTTAAGATTGTCTGGGGTTACAGCTGCTGTGGATGGAATGGAGTTCACTAGAGGAAGCCTGTACACCAGGAAAACCAACCCAAGGTTAGGTCCCCATTTTGAGACCCTCAAGGGTTGAGGGGAGTTGTAGCAACAGAAGAAGCATCCGCATTGGGTGGCGGGAGGGTGTACACGCATGCAATTTTAAATGTTCTCCCCTGCCTTTAAAAAAGAAGACGACGCAAGACTAATATCAGCGTGAGACGCTTTAGCCAGACTCCTTGCAGGAATTATCGAGATACAGTGGGGTCTTGACTTGAGAACTTAATCCGTATTGGAAGGCGGTTCTCAAGTCAAAAAGTCTGTAGGTCAAGTCTCCATTGACCTACGGTGCATTGAAAACCGATTAATCCCGTAACAGGCCATTTTTGTTCCATTTTGGTTTTTTTCTGGTCTGTAAGTCAAATCTCAGTCTGCAAGTCAAACCTAAATTTTGCGGCCAGAGAAGTCTGTACTGTAACTCAAGAAGTCTGTAAGTCAAGCCATCTGTAAGTCAAGGGTCCACTGTACTTATTTGCAAAGGGCTTATTATAAAATGTGAGCACGGTGTTGAGGGGGTAGAAATTAGCCTACCTGGTCAACCTGGGTATCCTCTCTCTGCCATAAGTGGCTTCTCATGCTCTAGTAGGGCAGAAGAAGGTCAGCAGAGATCCTTTGAACTGGAAGTGTCTTGGGGCTGAACCTACCTGGTCCTAAGTATCTATAGGCAGTATATGTTGTGTGCAGCTTCTTACCCCTCCTAATCAATGCAAGGCCTTCAGCTCAACACACTTAATGCCACATTTTCTTTTGTGCAGTGTGTTTATTTTAAGGACCTGCCAATAAGCTCCAGTGTGATTTCTTGCTCCCTCTTCCAGCTTCAGGGAACTTTTGGGGCTAAAACCATGTGACTTTTTAAAAGGGTGATAAATGCCAGATCTGAATGTAGTTGTTGCCACATGTTTGGCTTCAGGCCAAGGTTGCCAATTAGCATCCTCCTCGCCTGACATCATTGCCAGCTCTGGTGGGTATCCTTCCCCCCCCCCAGGAAAGGCTGTTTGTCAAGAGTGAGAAGAGGGGTAAACCCCAAGAGTTCTTAAAAGCTGGCCCTTTCTTTATTCCTGCCTAGGTTTAACTGATTACAGTGCCAAAGAAAAAGGAAACGGGTGCATTTTTCATTCTTTAATCTCTTTTGGCAAAGATATAATACTCTGCACTAATCTTGCAAAAACAGAAGTAATCATTTGTTTTTTTCAAAAATGCATGGATAGAATCAAGCTTCTTGGGTTCTGTGTATGCTTCAGCCTTTGTGTCTCCACTAACATAAATTTCCTGGTTTTGCACGTTCCTTAGAATTCCTGAAAGGCTGGCCTTTCCACCCAAGAGTAGCTTTTCAGGATGCAACATCCTCTGCAGCTGCTTGGTGGCGTGATGCCTTTGGTCCATCCTCCTGTGCCTGCCCTTCGGTCTACGGGCAGGGTTACACCTCCTCTTAACCTTAGATTTGTGTTGTTTTTAACACACTTGAAATCAATTTGCAACGATCAGCCTACATGACTAGCACACTTTTGGGGGGGCATTTCCAGGGGATTTTGGTTAGAATGCGTGTTATTCTAAAGAGAGCGAGGAGGTTGTTTAATGTGCATCAGGTCATGAATTGCAGTTTTGTAATTAGCCTGGCTTCCCCTCTACATTTCGCCAAACCAGCCACTCTTTGGCTGACAGCAAAGCTCGAAGGGGAACCCTTGAGAGGGTAAGGAACGCAATCGACTTCTCGCCCTGGGAAGCCCTTGACCAGAGAGTTTCCCCAATTTTTTTCCAGGAGCCAGGGATGAGTAGATGTCAGTGGCTCACTCTGCCAGCCTTCCGTTGCCCTTTCGCCTCCCTAGAACCCTCCCTCCCTCTCTTTCACTTGGGTTCTGACCTGCACGGCTAATGCCAGGGCATGTCACCCTGCACTCGGCTCTTGTTTTTCCAAGCTCATCCGCTCTTTATTTTTATTACCATGTTCCCATTTTCATTGAGCAGCCTCCCTTAATTGCTCAGATGGTAGATCGTCTGAAGCATATTATTTAAAGGCTGGCTGGCGCGCTGATTTATGGAGCTGCTCTTTTGATTTTGACATTTTTACCGCTGGGGACTTATTTTCCTCATTAGGGCCAAAGGAAGTTGCCGAAAGGTATTGCTTAACGTAGGGAGCCAGAAGCCCACAGAGGACTACTGATTTTTTTATTTTATTTTCCCCTTGCAAAAGTCGAGAGAACTTCTTCTTTACCCCCTCCTCGCATTTCATAATTCTTGTATTTATTTATTAATTAAATCCTTCCAAGCTGGTCATTGGGATGGGGGCATAAACATAATCTAATGCCGCTGCCTTAATTGTCTATTCCTGTTTAATGGTATTCTGATGCATTTTAATTGGGTTGTTTATATGTCCTGCACTTTGGGGTAATTTATTTTACTGTTATTATTTTTAGGCTGGTGGTAGTCTGTATTTTAGGCATGTTTCTTGTGTGTTTCTTGTTGTAAACCGCCCAGAGTGTCCTTTGGCCAGATGGGTGGTGTAAAATGAAACAAACAAACAAACCAAGTTGGAGTGGTGATGATGTTGCAGGCAAGGGAAGAGGCGCCAGAAGGCTTTTCATGCCCAAAGAACCAACCTCTGACGCTGCAGCCTTTATGGGCATGAACATGCCAGTTGCCACCGCAGCGAGGATCAATGCCATCCATGTCAGAGAATTTAGAGAGCCATCGTTACAGACTTGTGGTCTGTTTAATACAATGCATGGTCTGGGTGTGACGATTGTGCTCCACTGGGAGCACGTTCCATTGAAATCTCCTGCGGAGTCAAGCAATGCCACCCTGTATGACTTCCATCCTGCTTGTATTTCTCAGACGCCGGGCAAAAGTGGCAAGGCGTTAGTAGCCGAAGGGGGTCGTCTTCTTGCTAGTCTGTGCTAGTCCATTATAGGAGGTGTAAACAAAGTAAAAAATGATTAAAACATGGTGGGCCCTTGAAGAGGAACTTATATATATATCATTCATTGTTATTTCTCTATCGTTAATTTATGACAGTGGTTCTCACGTTCTTTACAGCACAAGCTTCTATGAAAGACCTGCATATCAAAAACACTATCACCGCAAAGTTTAATACTCACTGACTATATATATATATATGTGAGAACCAGTGCCATAAATTAACGATAGGGAAATAACAATGGTAGAATAACATGAATGATAATTGGGAAGGCTATGAAGTCACCCACCCACCCCAAGCTTTTCTTTGTAATCAATTGCAGTTGCGTGTGGATTAACCCAGACAATGGATGACCACAAGAGCAGAGCAAAGAATCTGCTTTATCTTTAAAAATTCTAAAATAGATCTGTTAAGGGGCGGGAGGGGAGAATATCTGGAAGATGAATATTTGTATTGTTCATATCTGGTAGTGCCCCAAAAAGCCATGTCTTAGATTAAGTCTATTGACTACAGGCTAAGAATCCAGAGAGAAACAACTGAGATAAAATATATACACATGCTAGACACACATATTGATGGACTTAATAAAAGCCATGAGGAAAGTCTTGCCTGTGTCATCTCTGGCCCTGTCGCTGACCACACGATGCAGAGATCAGCCATCCCGTTATTGCCCATGTAGCTGTGTGTGCCATCATGAGCCCTTGCCCAAGGTGAGGTCCCCGTGATCTGTAACTCCCGAGATGGTAGATGGCCTGCATGAAACTGAGCAGGGCTCTGTCTTCCAGTTGCTCCACATCTCTGAATCCTTCCCTGGTTTTCTTGAGCAATCTTCCTCTTTTTTCAGCCCGCAAATTGAAGAAACTGGGTAATCTGAAGATGCAGGAGGAGGGCGAGAGTGCCGGCCCGTCGAGTCCCACAGAGGAGCAGATGCCGAAGATGTCCATGACCCGCATTGACAGCCTGGAATGCCAGCCCATCTTCCTCAATGTCCTCGAAGCGATCGAGCCGGGCGTGGTTTGTGCCGGCCATGACAACAACCAGCCGGACTCCTTCGCCGCCCTTCTGACCAGCTTGAATGAGCTTGGGGAGAGGCAGCTGGTCCACGTCGTGAAGTGGGCCAAAGCCTTACCAGGTAAGGAAACCGGCCTTGTGTCCTTGCTCCCCGTCTCCCACCCAACGTCTTCTGAAGACACCAAATTTGTCTCCCGTTGTATTACATTGGAAAGATGCTTCTGCTAAAGTTGTGTCTGGAAAATCAGCTTGGCTTCCTACAAGCATGCTGAGATGTCCAGAGATTGTCCATGTCTTCGCTCCGTGCACTCAAGCCTCAGCTCCTTCAGCTTAAGTGTTGCTTCTGCTCACTGACCTTACTTCTCTGTAGACCAGAGAAGTACAAAGGTTTTTTTTCCAGGCTTCTTTGTTGCAAATTCCCTCTGGTGGAGGCTTTCCTGTGCACAAGGCTGGCTTGGGTTCTACAAAACAGAGCAACTCCAAAAGAAAAACAAATAAATTATGACTTAATGTGCAGAATTAGTAAAAGGCATGTACTTGCGTAGCAGACACTGTGTTCCTCTTTCCTTATTTATCTTCCTTTAGTGACATTTTCATTCACTGGTTGCGTTTAAGAGATTGTCAGAAAAGTAGCTGAATGCTACTTTTCTCACAATCTCTAGATAATGCGTCAATGTAACGGTGAATGGGGGAATTGTTCTTTAGAATAATGTGGATGAAAGAATACGGCATTTTTTTTTTAAAAAAAAGGACCTTCCAGAACAAGACTTTCACTATTAAAAACAGACTAGACCTCTCATGAATACTCACCTCAAAGAGCCTTGAGTGGGGACTCCAACTCAACTCAAGCCAACTCCAAATGTTTTATTTTTCCCCTTAAGGGAACTAAGAATTTTGTAGCAATAGACTCAAAACCCCAAAAGGTAGGGATCCCCCCACCCATCCAACCCCAGTTTACAGTCTACTCATCTCCTGGTGATGTCTATTATTTTCTCCTCGTTTATTCATTCAAATTTATATACCACCTCATTAGTGCAGAAGCCCTTTACACATTACACAGAGATGGCCTTGAATTTGCCACTAAATGTCTGTTCAACAGGGAACTGGGGGCAAGACTCCTGGGTACTCCAACCAGTCAAGCATTCTGTTATCTCCCATTGGATCTCCAAAGTGAGATACATGTGATAAGATATTCCATGGTGTCCTGGGACACAATTTGGCACTGGCAGGACTCAGGGTTGTTGTTTTTTGTTTGTTTGTTTTTTGGTCTAACAAAGCTAAGAAAATGGCTAGAATCCCACCGTTGGTGGGGTTAGCTTAGGAGGACTGTATTGGTGGCCCGGCTGATGAGCAGCTGTTAGGTGTCCATAGAGGAACTTTGGAGAATGGTTTTGAGAGAGGAAGGCTGTGGGAGTGACATACAGATACACGCTGAGTGTCACGGACCTCTGCTTGTGAGTGTAGTATTGGGAACTTTGATTATCAGTTCGATCTGGCAAATCCATGGTTTGGGCTTGTTTGTCTTTGAGAAAAGTCGGGGAGAAGGGGGCTAGCCAGTATGTTTGGCCAAGGACATGTTTGCTGCACCTCCTTGGCCTCCGTTATGGTCTTCTTCCTCTCCAAAGTCACTGCTGTCACATAGACAGCAGCCTTTCTCTTTTCAAGCTCTTCCTTCTCTTCCAAACCAACGTGATCCCATATGCCCAGATTTTAAATAATTTTTGCTGTTCCGCTTGTCTTGTCCATCTCTGTATTCTTACCAGCAAACATTTCCTAGCTCATTTAGTCAAGCAATAGTCTCTGAGTTGCTCAGTTAGGCCTAGACAGCTCCCAAGTTCACATGAAAGTGGATACTTGTTCTTTTGGAAGGTGGGGAGGGAAAATTGGTTGGTTGGAGGGGGACGTGGTTGTCTCTGAGACGTGAACTTTCAAAACTGCCTCTGGTAAATCTTGGTTCAGGTTTCTTTGCAAAGTTCTTTTCAACAGCGTAAGCAGGCACACGGGGAGAAACATCCCAGGATAACAATCCTTCCTCTTTCTGGGGTTCCTTCTACTTACACAAGAATGTTCTTGATTTTTGTTGAGGGCTTTAAGGGGGCATCAAACATATCAAGAACTAATAGGACGGGAGATTAAAACTGCATTCTATTCACCATCAATGTAAAATTGAGGAGACTTTCGTTTAGGATTGCATGTAATCTTCCAGAACTTTAAGGTTATTTTAAAAGCGAGGAATATCTGGGTGGTTACAGTTAGGCAAGGTCTCGCTTAGGTCAGTCACTTGTGCTATTCCAAGAAGGGGGTCGAGGGACTTTGCTCCTTGTAGAGGAAAAGTGGAAGAGCGTGTGTTGGGTTAGTGGAAACATCATCCTGAGCCTTACACCACTTCTGGTATTCAGGCTATTATAGCGGTAGATCGCATCAGAACTTTGACCCCCTAATTTAATTGCATTCCAGAGGGTTGAGCCATCTGAAGTATACTCCACAAATCAGGGTATGTAATACTTCTTGGAAAAGCTAGTACATAACTGATTGAAATGTCTGAACTGCACTAGATCGGGTGGAGGGGCTAGTTAATTTTTAACAAGTACAGTAGTTTGTAGCTTCAAACAGTGATTCCCAGATTGTGCACTATGGGGCTCCCATGGGGCACTGCCAAATCCAGCCAGGGGCACCCTAGAATCCTCTCATCCTTCCCTCTTTCCCCCTTCCTTCCCTCCCTCCCTCCCCAAAATATCATATCAGGGAGCCATCGGTAGCGGCCAGTAAGTCAAGAGCTCAGCGAGTCAAAACAGTTTGGGAACCACTGGCTGGATAGGATTTTTTTGTAGTCAACATCTCACAAATAATGTGTGTTAAATGTCTGTGGAGGTCAGCCCTTGTGCCTCTCCTAGAGCCCTCCAGCAACCTTGGCCAATAAATAATGTTCCCTTGTTGGCTGGCATATTCTGGAAGGTGACATCAAACAAAGTGCAGTTTCCGAGCTTCTGATTGTTCTCTGTAATTGGGAATCTCGAGAAATTATATCATGATAATCAAACAATTAAACGAGGCTTTTTTGTGTAACAGCCAGGACCATGGAGACAGGGGGGGTTGAACTTTTGACTTTAATATTATGGTTGACCCCCCCCCAAAAAAAAATCCTTATGGGCAATAGAACCTAGACCGTGACGTCATCCTATACCTTTCCAGAACTGCCCGCTTGATTATCCCATGGATGTTTCTGCCCATCTGTTTGATGCCCAGTTCCTCGAATGCTGTGTTTGTTCAATTCTAACACAGTGAATGCTTGCAACTCGTTCCTAGAGAACTTTCCATCTGATGGATAAGCAGGAGCTACACCTTTCGCAACCGGAAACATCTAACATGATGGTCCCTGTTATAGCCCAGCCTCATGCCTGATTTATTCCAGAGCCTGGGAAGTTACTTTCTAAAAGTAATCAGTGATGGGCACAAGTGCAAGACCCAATGAAACAGCTGGGTCTCCATGTTGTTCTGACCTCATGGTCGCCGTTCCATCCCCGTGCACTGTGGATATATCAGAATCTTCCTGCAACAATTAAACTCTTACTCTTAAAGGTGCCTTGGGCGGTTCTTTGCTTCATCTGCAGCAGATTTACACAATTTTCCCTTTTGGACATTTTTTTAAAAAGACAACTCTTTGCCATTTCTTAAAAGGAACTAACATCATTACTTCCAGCTACTTATTATTTTTAAAGCTGATGACTTGTAGATACAAACCACCCAAATCATTTACAAGAAATTAAAAATAACCACGGCTGCCATATTATCTTTTGAACTGCGGAGCTGGAAGGGGCCCTCTGGATCACGGAATCCAGCCAGATGCCTACGCCCCTGAGTGATCCAGAAGTTCAGGCACACGGATGACAGATTTTTTAAAAAATTCATATGGCTAAGACGATGGCATAACAGTATGCTTAGAGCTACCTCCTGTCACCTCACCCCCAGTGAAGGTGAAGCACTTGAGAGGCCATCCTTAATTTCTGCTATTAAAATATAGCCAGGCTCTGCCTCAAAAGAATCAGTTCAGATGCTCAGAGAGCTCCTTGCTAAATAAAATGCACCAAATTGCAAAAGCGGAGAGAAATTCCCATCTACTGTCCTGTGCATTTAATTTTGAAAGAAGGTCTAAAGGACCCACATCTACAAAGCAGCCTCAAACTGCCCTCTTTCCATGTGTGCCATACCAGGAAGAAACAAGGAAGAAACAGCATCCTACAGAATCCAAAAAAGGTTCTTTGGTGCTTATCTGTCCCAATGTGAGAAAGGGCTGGAGTATCTATTCGAAGGTTTTTAAAAGGATCGGATCCTTCAAGCCTGAGCACATCAAAAATATAGTCTTTTGCCTGTCACGTTGTCAGCAACAACGCTGATTACATTCATCCAGCAGAAGCACAATTTACAAGATGCATGACGTGTCCCAGCTGCTCATACACAACAGGAAAATGAATAGAACAGGCTAAGGTCACTTGTGCAACAGTTGTGTCGCAAAACAACACAAACACACCTGCAAAGAGGCAGGTTGCCCTGTTCCTGCAGGCTCCAAGATGGCATACAAGAAGAGAAAAAAATCAAATGACTAAGATCATAAGTGCATCCCCATGATAGTCATGAATGCATTTTGTTAGGAAGTAACTAAAATGTTAGAAGTTACACCACAAAAGCAGTGGAAGTGCCCTTGCTTTGTTATGGTTGTGTTGCAATTTCATTGTACCGGAGTTGTTAGGGGGAAAAGAATGAATTAATGAAATTAACACACTATTCGTAACCAAAATACTTCCAAGTTCTGGTTAACTTGGAAGTAACTTCTATGTTTTTCTGTGCTGCTTACTTCCAAACAAGTCAGAGCTTTCAAGTAACCTGTGGTTTACTTGACCATCTTGCTGAGAATCCTTGTTTGTGTCCATGCCGTTTTTGTGAACAGGCATAATTCTGTCGCTCAAAAGGCATATCACCTGTATGTCTGCAAGATTTACATTATGCCTTATGGTTCTGTAAGAGCAACCATTAAAAATGCATGCTTGCTCAGGAACCAACACAGTTTCCAATTGAGAAGTTTTATTTCCATCATTTTATTCCGTATGGTCTTTTTCTGTACTA